GAGATCATATTACTCATTCCTTTCAGCTTCAGTTTATGTATAATTCGTTGAAAAGTGAATTTGCAACTAAAATGTCATCCTTGATATTGGCAATATGGTTTACCTCAGTGGTATCAAACTTAATTTGATTTCATTGAGGGCCACATCAGGATTCTGTTTGACCTTGGGGAACTGGGTTGGGCGTGGCCAGCTTGACGTCATTTGTGTCAGAGGTGCCTGTGCTGGCCTGAGCGCTCTGTCAGTGAAAACAGGCTGCCAAGCTCAGTTTTTGGCCTCAACGGCCTCCTGCACCCTTCTGCCAGCGAAAACGGAACTCAGGTGTGGCCGCCTATGCCCCCTTGAGCTCCGTTTTCATTGGCAGAGGACTGTAAGAGGCCATCACAGCCCTCCCAAACTCCATTTTCTCTGGCAGAGGCACTGTGGGCAGGTTCTTCGCTGTTTCCAGGGTGACCCTGCGGGCCAGATCTAAGCATCCCATGGGCCAGATTTGGCCTGTGGGCCTTGAGTTTGACACCCCTGTTCTACCACCTGGTCTTACCTAGACAGCCACAGAAAGAGAAAAGCTCACTAAGGCAGAATGTTACCATTTATCTAGATTTACTTCAAGGCAGAGTTTTTGAAAAAAATGTTTACTATCAGTCAGGATTAGCAGGGTAAAATATCTACCTGGCCTCACTACCATATCTGAGGGATTATGCAAGACCCAATAATGTAAACTACATAAATGAACTATCAACCTATCAAAGAAAACCTCAAATATATTTAATCCAGTTTATTAGAAAAGTTCTGTTGTCCTTTATAAATTAGCACAGTGCAGTTTCTGCCTCCAGTTTATCATAACAGCGACTAGGGACAGCTTCATATTTTAATCTAATATATTCCGATTAATTTTAATTAATGTTTAATAATTGTTCACTGCAATGATATATTTCCCCACAAGAGAAGAAGCTTGAGTATATTACTCTTTCTCTCTTCTTTGAATACATATTCATATTGGCCAAAGTGACTGACTGCCCTGTTTGTTGAGGTGATGGCTACAGGAAAGAAGTAGAATTTAATGCATGAAGATATGTGCTGGCTCCCTCCATGTACTACTAATCAACTTTTTTCTCCAACAAGTTAGGAGAATGGAAATCCTTTTTGTTTCCAAAACCTGTTGCAGTAAACCAATTGTGATATTTTAACTGTGATTAGTTTCCTTAACATTAACTGTTGACTCTGAACACCTGTAACATGCTCAGGAACTAGCCATTAAAAAGGATTCTATTTGCTTGTGTGACTGTTACTTCTATACTATCTTTTTGTTTAAATCATGTCAATGTTGCATATCAAAACAAAAAGGATATGAAATGATGAATTCAAGTGACCATGTTTTGCATTAAAAATAAAAAGGTGAAATTTCCATCAGGCCAGTGTGATTTTGGCAAATGTTCTCATCTTTTGATCTGCTGTGGTGATGACCTAATTCTGGAACCTTTTAACTGGAAGCGCTGAAGGAACTGGCAATTAATAGGATAAAGCACCATTTTTTGATGTTGTGATGCTGTGGAATAAATGGAATTAACAGTTGCCACTTTGATTTAAATTTTAATTGGGGTTAAGACAGCAAAGCAAGTTTAGAGCAGATAATGGTTAAATATTATGCCTGCGCAGGACGACATAGTAAAAAAAATAAATCCACCCAGATGTTTGCTTGCTGGTTTTGTTTCTTCGCTAGCCAGGGAAAACATTCAAATTGTTCTTGACATGTGTGGCATGTTATTGCAAAGCCTTTTCCTCAGTATATGAAGCATCTTGCTTTTAATTCATTATGTGACCTTTGAAATGAAAATGCTTTGGGTCTGTGCTGTTTCCTCTAAATTGGGAGAGACAGGGAAGAAGTGGAATATTATTGTATTTTATCTGGCCTTCCCAAAGGAAACGAAAAGCTTGGTTTGAAAGGTAAATTTTTTCAGGGATATGTCATATCTAATAGGCCCATCACCTTAAATATGTAAATTACAAGCAGAGCGCATGCCTCCATCCATCCTTGGCATAGCCAATAGATCCCATTTGTCTAGAAGAATGCTTTTCTGAAAGATATGATTATTCTAGAACAAGTTCTTTGGTATGACTGGCATTTAAACATAGTGTTTTGAAGAATGACATTTAGAGAAATAGTCTTGCAGGAGTGATTTTTTTATGTGTGACAGGAGGGAGGGAATAAAAAAGAAAAATGGTTGAGGGCTGGGTTATAAAAAAGTTTTTGTTATTGCTAAATAGCATATATGTGTTGAAATAAGACAGCCCTAATTTAGGTTGAGTTGCCCCTGCCTTCCTTACTATATTGTCAGCAAATCTGGGACACTTTTTTCCATTTAAAAGGTAATGGGGAGGGAGGAATCTTCCCTTCAAAGTAAATACAGTATTTTCCTGAATGGTATCAAAATCTGAATCATCTGAAGTCTGAAGACTGTGAGCCATGACTGCAAGAGGAAGGAAGATTTTACTTAGAAAGGATGAAGATAAGCTTGTTCAGAAATTTTGAGGAGCATCTTGAATGCTTGAATATACATTCTGTGGATTTTATTGAAAAGGTATCAATATTATAAAGACAACCTAGGTGGCAGAAGATGAATCTCATCTTGGTGATAATCTCGAGCAAAAGTTTAAAAGTGCAGATTTAGCAAACAACATAATTTTGTTTGCTCTTAGTATATTTTGTCAGGGAAGTTCAAAATTGATTCATTTCTGCAATTTCACCTTTGCCTGTAAAAAAAGATAACTAATAAGTGCACGTGAAAAGACGTCTCTGAATTGAGTGAAAGTCATGTCAACTCATATTATCAACCAGTGACCACTTTCACAATTTCCAATACTCCAGTATTAAATTGGACTAAATAACCCTGTGGCCTGTTGGGTCATCATTTGAGAGAAACATAGTGCATGCAGTCTGGTGTGACCATAGTGAATATTTAATTTTAGAGTGACCATATCATTTTTACTCCAATGCTGGTCTTCTGATCATCTAAGAAGAGTATATATCATAAATGGAAAAAAAATAATTGTAGTGGCAAATAAACTAACAATAGGACAAGATTTATTTACCTGAGCAGATCAACAGAACAACCATAGGCAGGCAAAAAAGCAATGGGAGTGAGAGCAACTTGTGACTTCCTGCTGGCTTCCCCGTTGACTTTGCTTGTAGGAAGCTGCAGGGAACATTGAAAATCATGATCATGGGACAACAGGGACTATGCATCTGCCACAATTTTGCAAATACAACTTGGCAGAACATTATAAAAATTTCAGTGCCACTGGAGTGATGGGTCCCACATATTTATACATTCTTTAAGTTAGTGGATTTTAGTACCTTGATTCAAAAATTATTGCAGTATAATGCACCATTTGGATTAACCAGAGGGTACAAACAAATAAACACAATGAAAATTTAATAATATAGAAATAGAAGATTTTGGTCATATCAGACTGTACTGCTTTTCTGTCAAAGAATGACCCAACAGGTTGCAGGGTTGTCTAGTGTTAATGAAATTTTAAGAGAAAGAATAATAATACCTTTTAAAAAGATGCACCGTGTAAATCTGATAATAGTAGCTTTGGAAGTATTTTGTGTGCATACTGTTTTGCAATTTGTCACAGAAACACAGTTCAAGGAAATTTCAGCTGAAGTATTTAATGAATGAATTACTGCAGGTGAGATTGTAGGAGAACAAGGGAAACCTAGATGAAACTATCACTAACAGATCTTTTGAATATCTGAATTGTTTATTTTAGCTCATAAGCATACATATTGTTCGGGAGAATGATGCATATAAATTGATCTTGGTCTTCATGGAACAATTATGGTATCTCATTATGGCATTGAAAGAAGATTTATAAGCAGTGTGGAATTTTTTTTTTAGATAAAATGAAATAGCAATATTTTATTTGTGTATTTTCTATGAAAGTTCTTTTAGATAATTTCTTTCAGATATTCCAAATACTGTTTATTGTTCATTGTTTCCTTTCAACTTTATCTTTAAGTTCAAAGCAGTAACATTTACAGTTAACCTAAAAAAGAATGTATGTTAATACACTGTTGTTAATTCAGTTCAAGATATATTGAACTGTAACTCTCATAAAACCCTACTGTCTAGAAATTGTGGAGGTTGAACCTATCTAGGTGAAGTCAAACTAGGGAAGGCTGCTGATAGGCCATGGCTGGGTGACCTCAGGAAGTTCAGCAATTAAGATTTGCAATATTACTTGAAGGCAATATAAAGAATAATTACTGTTTATTATTTCAATATAAATTTGGAGTGTAAATAATACTTTGGTACAACATGCATTGCATAAACTTTATATAAGCTGAATGGCTTACTTTGGAGAATAGTTATTACACTCTCCAGTGCCTGAAGGTAAATACAGTATCTAGCTGCTAGATTTTTTTCATTGCTAGGATATGGATGGAATCTAACCCTTTGGTTTTTCCAAAAATGAGCAGTGATAGCAAAAAGAGATAAATGTAAAATTATTGCCTATCTTACAATGAATGTAGAAGAGTCACTATGGCAATTTGAATGTGAAATTGATCTGAAGAGCTGCTTTGTACCTGTGAAGTTTTGGTATTGATCTTCATGTAATGAATTGCAGGGACTTCAGGGCCTAGGATGCGTGAGTAGAACTGTGATGTATATTCCACTACTGTCAGAACAAATGTTTTTTCTATTCCACCAATAAATCTTACATAGACAAAAGCCTTTTTGTATACAGAAAAAAACACCGTTCATTCAGTTTATTTCAAAAGAATTTCCAACAAATACCTTTATCAAGTAGTAAATGGAAATGGATTTTGTTATAAATGAATACTGTGGGTTATAACTACAAAAAGATTGAGCATATTTCAGAGGCCACCTGTGCAATAGATTTAAGATGACTACATTTGTCAATTCCATATTGTTATTTATAAACCTTGATGGGAAGATGAATATGCTTAATGTAGCATGTGTTGTGTTCCTTAGGTGCTAGAACAAGATGTGGTTCTGCAATCTATTGATAGAGCTATTGAAGCCATTCATAATGAGGCAATGAAGAATGGAGGAAAATACAACTTGGAACAAAGGGATGTTCTTCAGTAAGTAAAACAAACAAAAACATTCAGCACAGTATATGGTTATCGGAAAGAAAACACAAAACACAATTAAACTTTACATTGTCATAATTAAAACCATGCTAGGTAATATAAGAAGTACTAAGCTGGCTTTCTCTTTTCTTTCATTCATCTTTTCTCCATGTAGCACTTTATTTAAGTCACATGGTATGGTGATGTCTCTATTTTTTAACATCTTGTTTCCCCCTTGGAGTGCCTTTGTTTCCAAAGAATTGAATATTGATTTGCAGACCAGTATCAATGTTTGTGAAGGCATAGCATCATTTGAAAGAGTGGAAAAATGGAAGAGAATGATTGAATATCAAGATGAATGAATCAATGAATCAATCTAAGAGAGAAAGCAGTAGTAGTATGCTGGAAATAAACCAGAGAAAGTTACAGATAAATGAGATTAAAGGCTAGGTATAGGAGAAAAGGAAAATTGGACTGCAGGAAAAGTCAAGCTAAAGAGAGGATGTATTGATAGAGCAGAAGAATGTGATTTTTTTCAAGAATCACATTTGATGTAAACAAATTTCTCAGATGACTATTCAAATTATGATATCACTAATTCAAAAATCCTCTTAACTGACAAAATAATGACTTACAGTGGAGCTAGATGCTCTGTAATCTAAATTAAAAGTGGTAGTCTAAAGCTAAAAGAATCTATGATCCATAAATGATTTTAAAGTCCAGTTTTCATCAATCCTCACCATTAGCCATGCTGATTGAGACTGAATCCAGTAACATTTGAAAAATGATCAGATTGTCTCCATCCCTGTAGCATTAATCTTTTGTAGTTGAATTTCCTCATGGGGTAATAAGGAGCTTCTTAGTTCCCTATACCTTAGTTCATATAGGTAAAGGAAATAGCTTGATTTATCCCTTGATTTAAAAAAAAGTGCTCATTACGTATACAGATTTCAGCTCATTGTATCGCTGATATATTGGACATTCCTGAAACCTACCTTCTCAGTGTGATTCTTTGCTACATTATCAGAAAATTGATCCATCATCGAAAGGAAACAGTTTCCCGCAAAGGGCATTCACTGTCCACTCAAGGAATGACCTCATCCACTAGTGATCATCTGGATCTAGCCAGGCAACCCAATGGTGTCTGCAGAACTGGATATGAACGACACCACAGTTTGCCTAACAAAGACATCCAGGAGGAAGAAGGTGACCTTTACCAGGTAGGACCTTTGCTTTATTTGTAAGTTTTCTCCAGCATGCTCGAGTCTAGGCAAGCAGAACCAATTGCTTGGCTGGTGTTAAGATGTACTGTTGACTCTATATTGATCCTGAATAGGGAAAAGGAATGAGTAAAAAGCTGCATTTTACCTACCAGAGTGAACATCTGTTAATAAATTTTGTTCACCTGCTGACTAACTTTTTTGTGAGTTAATGGAGAACAGTGTTTTCAATAGTCTTACAGTCTAAGACCAGTCAAAAATGAATGGCAGCAATGACTTCTTCATATACTTTGATGATTGCAAAAGATGACTTTTGCAAAATGGCTGTTTTATGTTAGACTAGGCTGGGGTGATCTAGAATTTTATTTACTGGTTTTTAAGTATCTCTAGGAATGAAATTTATCAGGACATCCAGCAGTATCACAATATACTTTTAAAGAGTTGATTGTGTTGCAGGAATATATTTTTAGTATGCTACTGTTTATTATCTCATTCACTTCTGCCAATACTCTCCGAGCCTTAGTTAAATATGAAGAATTTAACTGATTATCAGATCTTCATTGGGATAATTGTATGGCTGACTGAGTGGGAATTCTGAATGCAATAATTTCAACTCATCTCAGAGCACCTGATTGGGAAAGGCTGCCTTAAATATGTTTTGTTACTAATGTTAAAGTAAACTAAACTTAAACTAAAAACTGAATGCAGAAAAGGTGAGACAGAGACCCAGTTACATCAGCTGTTCCTGTTAGATATCACAGAGAAGGCATTCTGAGAGTGCCATTGGCTAGGGATCTGTCCCTGATAGATCCCAGAAGAAGTGCTTTCTCTGCTATGGCTCCTGTCTTATAAAACATCCTTTCCCCTGAAATTAGATTGGCCCCGTCCCTTTTGATTTTTCAAAAGGCCCTCAAGACTTGGTTACACTGCAAGGCCTGGGGTTCCCAGGGAACTAGAGGTTTGTCTCCTCAGCCCCACTGCTGAGGGGGCCATTTCTATCCTCCCTTCACTCAGGGTTAGTATTTTTGTTTTTAATATTATTTACTGCTGTGGTTTTTAAAAAGATTTTTATCTGTTTATATTAGTTGTTTTATTTATTGTTGTATCCTGCCCAGTTTCCTTTGAAAAGATGGGTGGATGTACAAATTTGATTAATAAATGACAGAGTTTTATGTGAATATTATTTTCCATATATGTTTTTGTTAGTTCCGAAGTTAATGATATAGCAGGGAAATAAATTTCTGCAAGGTACAAGCTTATGTCTTAGTTAAATGAAGGCAAGCTCTTATGATTGGGAGATACAGGAGAATGGGGAAATTAATGTTGATGGAAATTGATGGAACAGGACCTGTCGCCTTCCAAAATAACTTCTTTTTGAGTGTTGACATCTGTACCCAAGAGAAATAAACTCATTTAGCCTTTGGGCTTTTTTTTTTGTGTGGAAAAGAAGATAAAAGCTAGTTAGATTTTTCATGGGGAGAAAAATGAAAGTCAGAACTCCTCTGCCCATCTCTATTCCCTGTCATGATCCTTTTGTATCAGTGAAGTGCATTGACAAATAATGGGAAGACAATTTCCTATAATCCAGTTTGTGGCCAATCTCTTCTCAGTGTATTCCAAATAGAATGTGCTTTGCACTTTGATAAATAGATGATGTACTCAGAATCAGGATGAAATATATTTGTATTTGGGGTGGGTGAGTGTGTGTGTTTGTTAATGATATAATTTTTAAACTTCAATCTCTTCCCTTTAATTTGAAAAGTGATTTTCTAGCTTTAGCTTTAATTTTTGTTTTCTAAATAGCCTGTTTCTGATTAAATTGATTAAGTACTGTTTGCATCTGGGAAACGAATATGAAGGGCAACAAATCCCCTCTTTCTGTTAAAATCATTGGATAGTAGGATTTGAAGAATTTTGAGTGCTTGGAGAATGTGTAGTCTGTTTCCAGATGCTTTGATAACATAGGGCAGTTTTCTCAGGTAAGATAGAGCTGCTGTGGAAATAGGTTTAAAATGCATATTCTTTTGATCAGCATACATTCAGACTTCAGCAAAATACAGTTTGGATATCTGTCTACCATTGGCCATTTCCCTCTCATCCCCACCCCTACATGCACACTTTCTCCCCAAAAGGCCTTTCTAGCTCACGGTGACATGATCAGCCTGAGTTTACATATTCTTAAGATTACAGCCATTTGAGAATATGACAGCTGATCTGGTCTCAGAGATGAAGGTTTATAAAAGGAGAAGAAAATGGACAGGAGGAAACACTGTCCTACTCTAATGCTTTTTATTAATGTATTTTATTAAATTTAGACGCCAGATGATTATGGACAGCTTAAACTTTCAAAAAGCAAAAGAATAAAAAAAAAACATACAAGCAAGCAAAAAAAAAAAAAATAACCAACATGGACTCAGTTGAACCATTCTACCTCAAGACCTAGGAGAACAGCCTGGTTTTCAAGAACATTCAGAATATCAGCAGAGTGACAACCATATGGCTCTCTGGGGGAAGCTGTTTCAGAAGGCAGGTGGTGCAACAGAGAGGAGGTAGCTGGTAGATGACCCTGTTTAATCAAAGGCACCTGGAGCATACCCATTCTGTCCAATGTTACTGGATAAGCAGAGACTATTGGAGACAGGTGGTCCCTCAAAGAACTAGGCCCTATGCTATGAAGGCCTTATAGGACACTTTGAATTGTACATGGAAGCTAATCACCCACCAGTATGGTTCATAAAGGATTGGGAACCCATGGGTATACTGTGGCTCTCCCATTGCTGCTTGCACCATTGCATTCTGGACCAGCTGTAGCTTCTGAGGAATGAGGATTATAAACAATAAAAATCCAACATTAAAATAGGGCCATGCAAAAAAAAAAATATACCTGCATCCACTATATACTTATCCAATAATTGGTGGGGTCACGCATCATCCTTTTCTAGACATGAAATGCATTTATAGGAAAGAAGCAACCTAAACACGCCCAGCCCTAATATGTACTGTATATTAATAAAATAAATGTTGCATTAGGATATATTGTGACCTGATACACTGTTTCTGAGAAAACAGCTCCATGTCATTAAATCCAACTGGCTCAAGAAAAGAGGATCCCATCTGGCTGTAGTTTTGTAGATAGGGTGTGGTTTGTTTGTTTGTTTTTGATCCAGCCATCATTTGTATATCTTGACAGCTGGAGTCAAGAAGAAGTCCCAAAGTGCAAAGTTGCTCTTATAGGGGACATGTTGCTCCATCCAAAGTAAGCCTCACATCCATCCCTGAATCCAGTTTTCTTCTTACCAACAGCACCACTCTTAGTCTGAATTTAATTTAATTTTGTTCTCCTTCATCCTGCCCGTTATCTTGATTGCTCCTGTGGAATTAAATAAAAGAAGCAACAGAACTGGCACAAGCATAGTGATGGCACCCCATTCCAAAGTTCTGAATAAGTTCCAAATAATCTCCCCAATGGTTTCCGGTAGATATTGAACAAGAGGATATGATAGAGCTTCATGGGACACCATAACACCCACCATCTCGATGAGTCCTGGCAAGAAAGACTGCAATCTCTGCAAAACAATTTCCCTAAGGCCCAAATTCTCCAGATGTCCAACTCCATCAGGGGTGTTGAAAAGTGCCAAGAAATGAAGGAGATCTAGCAAATAGCAGCCCTTCAAAGCATTCCAGGTCAGGAAATAGGAACTACTGGAAGTCTGATTTATTTTTATTAAAAAGGTGACAGAAAGCCTGACAGAATTTTGATTTCATTCTCTCTTATATTCAAGAGAATCAAGGTGAGGAATATTGAGTGTTCATCACATCCTGGTTTTTTTTGGCCAAGCTCATGTTTTCCTAATAGCTGCTACATACAGTATCTTCCTCAGGGCTACCTCAGTACTCCTCCATACCAGTGTTGCATTTCTCCTCACTGATTTCCAATGTAACTCATTTGCTGGATAATCAACTTTCATTATCCACCTTGAACAGCAAGGTTATAGTTTTCTCAACCATCTTATTCAGAAATGGAATATTAGAGCCTGGCTTATAATTATAAAACTCTTCGAGGTGCAAAGAGGACTTTTCAATAAAGGTCACATAACTTTCTTTTTTAAGTAAGTGGCAAGACTTTTTTTTGCTGAAGAAGTCATTAATCATTTCTGGTAACTATGGGTGATTCCAGTGTGACTAATTAGTTAACCAGGTGGGGAAAGAGTTGAGCAAGCAGATGGTGGGCCTTAACTTTTCCACATCGTCAGTATGTATAAGCAATAAAAAAAAAACACATCCATATGAATAGGAACTTCCTCAGTATTGGAATCTGCAGCAAATTCAGTCTTTTCTACAAAAATGATGGAAAATTGCTCTCAGCCAGCTTCGAACTGTTCTGATTCCCTTCCCTCAATATCTTAATGGAAGAAATACTGTGCAGCATTGAAAAGCTTTTGCAGAACTCTTCAATGCAAATGCAACAGAGGTAGAGAAGAAGTAAACCCTCTCTGCTATATCCATTGTCACAAAATAGGATTGCATGCAGGCCTTGAGGAGAACTCAAATCCATGTAAAAATCAAATTGTACCCAGATTTTCTGCAACAGTACTCCAGCCTACTATTAGTCTGCTTCATCCCTTTCAATAGTCTGGTGCCCCAAGATGCCATGTGATGTCTGTTGAAGAGAAGAGGGCATTGAGGAACCATCTGGATGAATTTCGAGTGCCACAAATTGGCCAGGTTTATCAGTACTGATGACAAACTAGGCTGGAAATTTGTGAAGTTACATTCAGAAAAGCATCTAGATCCATCAACCCACTTGGGTTAAACCATCTTAATTACTCCTGTATCCCAGCAGAAGTTTATAGAAAAATGCTATCAGTGTCAAAAAAATGTGCAGGTGAGTCCTTGGGTCATGACATTAGGTGGGCCTGGATTTGCCGTTGCTAAGCAACACAAACATGGTCAGGTGTGGCATCACTTGACCATGCCATTTAGCAACAGCAGTTCCAGCAGTCCTGGTTGCAGTTGTTAAGTGAGGACTGCATGGATTCTTAAGAAAGCATCTTGCATGACAGTGACTTCCAACTTCTTGCTGGCCTTCCCCTTCTCTGGGAGCCTGGGTTCCAATTATGTGACCCTGGGGGATGTGCTGCAACACCTGGAACTCTGAGGATCAGTCATGTCCACCTCATTCAGCATTCTTACTAAGTTTGAACAGTTGTTGAATGAGTGGTCATAACCCAAGGACCGCCTTTCAGAGTGAGCTTAGCAGACTGAGATGTTAAATGCATCCCAATATGTTGTCTGAGAAACAGACTGTGCTGCATAGTCACACAAGAACTTATATCATTATAGAGACCGGGTCCATATTGTGTTGTTTCAGTGCTGCTGAGACAAAGGAAATCAAGTGTTAAGATGCTGGTGTAGTGCCAGAGGGAAACATCTAGCCCAGGGGTGTCAAACTCAATTTCATTGAGGGCCGCATCACGGTTGTGTTTGACCATTTTCTCTGGCGGGCCAGTCCTTCTCTGTTTCCAGGTTGGCCACGTGGGCCAGATCTAAGCACCCCGTGGACCAGATCTAAGCCTTGAGTTTGACACCCTTGATCTAGCCCATCTTGCTGTCATCCCTTCCTCCAAATAAAAGAGAAAGCCTTGCAGTCAGTATTCCCAACCCTCTTTGCGTCCAGAAAATGTGTAAGACTTTGAGAAGTGGAGTAACTGGAGGAAGCTCTGCACCACTCAGTGCTTTTCTTGTCATGGGCCTCTGTGAGGAATGATGCCATCGTAAATGGCCTTTCCTACTCTGAGATGCTTTTCCTAGTCTAAATTTAAAAAAAAAAAGCTCTGGATGCATTAACATGAAGGAAGCCTGCAGGGTTCAGTCTTTTGTCTTTATCCTTTCACAAGGATAATTTGTTGCATGGATCACTCCCAGTGCCTCTAATGTGCACATGGCTTGCTGCCTCTGCAAAGGGGCTGTGAGCGATAGAGAGTGTATGTGTTTGGCAGGTCGGTGCAACAGAAGTCTGGCGCTTTGCTGAACATAGCAATTAAACATGCAGCTTTTTCTGTCTTAAAGGAGGGAGGGAGGCAACACGTGTTCCGATGTTGTGCTAGGTTCATACAGGAGGCTGATTATTAATGTTATCCTCTAGAGGCATCTTTCAGAAATGAAAAGAGCACTATTGGGACAAATTTGCTGTTGCCTAGAAAATAATGTTTTTGACACATTACCATTGCTCTCGCTGATGACATTGATTGTTCTAAAATGCTTTCTTCTAGATTTCTGCACAGCCATGCCGTGCCACTCCTCTTATTCCTCCACCACCAGAGAAACGCAAGAATGTTCAGACAACTGCGCCCATTAAAAGTAAGAAATTGTCTTGCATGTTGATACTATTGAGGATCGAAGAATGCTAAATATCACCTTCACTGGCTTGGCAGCAAGTGGCTCCTTGTTCTCTTGAGGATGAAAAAGAAAATACTAGTGAATTGGCAGGAAATGGAACTTCTCCAGAGATGGGCCACTTGTGGTCTTTCAGATGTTACTGAACTCCAGCAGAAAAGTACACAATTCTTAAAATTTGTACATTTCAAAATAATACATGCAGAGTGGAGTTTTTGGGAATTAAATTAAATTGCAGTCTGATCTGTAATATGTATTTAGCATATCTTTTTCTCTTGAATCTAGTCCAACTTGTTTCCAAATAAACTCAGGCTGTCAGGCTGAAGCTTCCATTTTATTTTGTACATTTGCTGATCAGGTGAAACATATAAACTTTTCTTCTGAAAATAGACATTCCCATTTGCACACACAACCTGATAATGCAATCCTGAAATTTGTTTTCACCATCTAAAACTGGTCACAGCATATCTAGGAGCAAGTTTCCGAGAGGAAATGTCATTAAAAATATGCTTTTCTATTTCCTCTTCAAAGATAAATGATAGAAGGAACTGCTACTGTTCCAACTTTCAATTAATGTGGTCTTCTGGCACACGGGAGAAAGCAAATAGGAAAAAAGCCCACAGCATCAAACTGCCACAGATGAGGAACTTGACATAGATTATTGTATGATTTCATTTGAGGTGAAAGATGATACAAAAACATCCATATTCTTGTATTAAATTAAAAGTACAGGATTAGGAACACACAATAGCTTGTAAATTTGGCCAAACCATTCCAGGTAGATCATGGTTCAACTGGACTGAAACTCAGAACTTTACAATTATTCTGGATTTCTGCCAAGGCAGAGTCCAGAACAATCTTGCAGGGACCATGAGACAAAGGTGATAGATCTTAATACTCTCTCTCCCAGCTCCTATCAAGTCACATGCCCAGCATCTTTCTTCCTCTTGCCTCTCCTTTGTCACACCTGAATTTAAGCAGTGTACAGATAGTTCTTGACTTACAACCACTCATTTAGTGACATTTCGAAGTTGCAGTTTCACTAAAAAAAAAAAGTGACTTACGGCTGTTTTTTCACACTTATGATCGTTGCAGCATTCCTGTGGTCATGTGATCAAAATTCAAACACTTGGCAACCGACTCATATTTATGACAGTTGAAGCATCCAGGGGTCATGTGATCTCCTTTTGTCACCTTCTAACACTTAATACTCAAATTACTAATTTAACTGCAATGATTCACTATGGCAAGGAAGGTCATAAAATGGGGCAAAATTCACTTAGCAAATGTCTTGCTAAGCCACTAAAATTTGGGACTCAATGATGGTCATAATTCAAGGACTACTTGTATACCCAACCCCCCCTACCCAATCTTCCCTGGACATTCCTTCTGTTAATCTTCTCTTATGTTCCACTCTCACTATCTCCAACCCTGGGACATCTCTGCCAAACATACATGGTTTGGTCCATGCTTGGAAAAACCACAACTAATTTGTTCTGGGTAGAGACCATTCAAAATTGTCTATGTTTAACCACTGTATCTTGGACAAGCAGGAAGAGAAGGTTCCATAATAAATACTATTTATTTCTTTAGTCCTTCTAGATTACAGGTAGAGATTTCCAGTTCTCCCTTTAAAATAGATGGGAAAATTAAAAGGGTGTTTTCTGAAGCTCAGAAAACGGGGGTCTTAATACTTTATTCTACTCTATACTTTATACTTTAAGCACCAAGAAACAAGAGTGATCTAGGTGAGCACAGGCAGTCATTTGGAACTGTTCGGTACAGTTAAGAGTTTTGAGGACATGTGCCTAATTCTCTTGCAAATGGCTGCTGGGGTGGAGAATTCCTATTTAGAAAAATGTTGCCTTGGTGTAAAGGGAGACTCTTAAAACATCCTTTTACCAATAGGTAAAATGCTTCCAGCCACCTCTTTCCCTGTATCTTTCCTTCCTCGTAATCTATATCCAGCTAATTTTGGGGCTGGTGGTGGTGGGGTTTATTTTGGACTATAGAGATCCTAGGGTAATTTGAATAAATAAAGCTGATGCTAGGGGCTGGTATTTTGATTTGCAGAAGCCAATTTCCCATTTAATTTTTCCTTCGTATTAAAAATACAAATTAGGTGGACCGGGAGCCCAGGAAAGAGAGATGGAAGATCTCCAGGGATTGCTATTCATGTTTGCCCTAAAGGCCTCATTGCATACGGCTTTGTTAAAATGTTTTCCTTCGGTCCATGAACTGGCAGAAAAGCATGCTGGTATATGAGTTATGGGTGCCCTGATTACCAAGTCCTGTTCTCTCTCAGTGATACAGTTTGTAAAATAGTAGATTGCCACGTAAAACCCATTTTTGACAGAAGCAATGGAACCCTTGCAATACACTCATTGATGAGAGAATCCTTATCTGTTTTCAGTTTAAATCACAGGTGTCAAACTCACTGCGTCGCATTGCTGTCACATGACATTTCGCAATGTGTTTCCCATTCGCGGAGCTGGGGTGGGTGTGGCCTGCACGTGATGTATCCAGCCCACGGGACACCAGTTTGACACCCCTGGCTTAAATTGATCTGTGAAGCTCAGAGTTCTAGTCCTTTTTTTAAAAAACACAAATGGAGTGCTTTTTCAAAAGCTTGCTAAATCTGTGTATATTAAATACCTGTAAGATCTGGCATGTGCTTCAGACGGACATGTCTGTTCTTGAACAGATTCTTGTGCAGAAGCCAGATGTTGAGCCTCTCGGCTACAAAAGCCATAGAATATAGTGCCTACATCTGGAGAGCAGGGGATATTCCTGCATCTGCCAAAAGTAGACAGTATAGAAACTGAGCAGATCTCAACCCTTGTCTACATCATCATCCACCTTATTAACAAGATGTCCTGCATTATGTTCACAATAAAAACTGCACTGGGAGAAGATGGAGAACACTAACATTGAAACAGCTAAATATAAGCAGCCTTTGGTTTAGGATGAGATTCAGACAATGACTTCAGGATATGTCATATAAACAGTTATTATAAAGGGGCACATTCATGTTGCAGGCAGGAGGACATGAGAATGAGTCCAAAGTTAATCAGGTGTTAGAATCAGTATTGTTGGCATTTGAATGCAGAAGTGTTTTTTCTTCTTCTGCAGATAAACAAACTATCTTTTTTGCTGCTTCAAATAATCTTCCTTGTTGTAACTATGAAAGACTGGCTGAGAGGAACTGAGTATTTGGTGGGATGGGAAGATAAGGAATAAAACACAGGAAGCACAGACAGAATCTTAAATAAGACAGCTCAGCATTTAGATTGTGTGCACAAACAAGCATTGCTTACTTGGAGTTTGGCAAGTATGGAAATTTATTGTTACAAAATACAATAAGAAAACTATATTCTTCAGGTTAGCCGAGAGAAATAGATTGTACAAGTCTAATTCATTAACTTTTGATTTATTAGGCATAGTCCATGCACTGCAAAAGTCCTCACTGATTAATTCCATTCCTTAACAATGCTGGCCATGTAAATGTAAACATTTAGAGCTCAAGGAAAGCAAAGAATGGATTCATGTAGTATTGGCAGTTGTGGCTCAGTAATAATGAAGAAGGATCTGGGAAGCCTGGAAAATGTCATTCCCTCCTGTTTAATGATGAGCAGAAATGACCTTACGAGACTATTGACTCCTCTTGCAAAGAGACACAGCCAAAGGACGGTCACACTTGCAAGATTCTCTTAATGTAACTTTATGATAAAGTAGAGTTAGCTTGTCTGACTGTGTTTCCTGCCTGGTCTCTCAGAGGACTGACAGCCAGATCTCAATGAAGCACTTCCCAGATGTATTCTGTGCTTAGTCTTTTCAGCAATCATTGCTGTAGCCAAAGTTCACTTTTCTGCAGAACTTGTTGAAAATGCATTGGTTGGCTAACTGGACCATGTAATTAAAACAATACAACAAATCAGCATGAGTTTATGTTTCAGTTACATTCACAAGACATATATCATCTGTACTTGATTCCCTAGTGCTGAAGAATTTGGAGTTACCATTTCTCTCTCCTGGGTGTAAATGGGTCATCAGCATCTGAGCCATAGCTATTAGGGAATAAGTGGATTTCAAGTCCTAAGGCCACATGAGTGAGGAAAAGGAGTCAATTGTTTTCAGCCAGATGTGAACCTCTGCTTTTAGGCAAGCTGTGTACTGTTTTCTCCCGTGCTCCATGAAAGCATTGCATAAAAAATCATTGGGGATTTTTAACAATAGGCTTCTTTTCTCTCTTTTAATGTCAAATAAATGATGCATTATTAAAAAAAAACAATATCTGTAGGCATAAAATGAAAAGTATTGCCTAAAAAACTCTGCTCCTGCATGGATACTTTCCTGTCAAAACACGAAAACACCTTTCGGTAGAACAGACATCTCCTTTGCTTCAAAAAGATTGGCGATCAGGAATACCCAAGAGACAGTTAATACAATTTTGCTTTGAGATAAATGAACCAAGAAAAGTAGTTTAACTACTCTGAAAGCTTCCGCAATAAGGTTCTTAATGAACTCTTCCTTTGCAGTTTTTTTTTTAACCCATTCTCTTTTCCTTTGATTTTGTTGCTAAGATATGTCAATTGTTTCCTTTCAGATGCAGTTGGAATCACTTCTGGGTCAGTTTCTAGCACCTCTACTGAAAGCACAACTTCACTGGATACCTCGTACACGGGTTCCACAGAATCAGGTCTCCCTACAGCTACACCCAGCCCCGACAACACTCCTCCCCCTGTTCCTAGCAGAAGTGCCCTCACCATGGCATCCTCCAGCTTAGATACGAGTCCTGTAGTGCAAAGAAAGCATGGGAGTGCCAACAAATCCCCTCAGACCAAAAGGGCTGCCCCACAACCTCCTGCCCAAATGGAGGTTTCAGATACAGGCGGTGAAAAGACCTTAGAAACAAAGAAGACCACACCAGCCACATCTACAGGGGTAGAAAACTTTGATTCTCTTTGCCTGGAAGACGAGAAGGCAGCCAATACAGAGGAGGAGGTGGAACAAGATTCATCTGGCCTAGTAACCACCGTGCCAAAGACGATAGGGGCTGAGTTGATTGAGTTGATCCGCAGGAACACAAATCTCAGCTATGAGCTCTCCAGAGTTGCCATAGGGGTAGTAATTGGGCATATTCAGACTTCTGTTCCAGCCCTTAATAGCATCATGGAGCAGATTCTCATCTCACTGGTGGAAAGCAAGGTAGGAGACGTGTTTCTTTTCGCCTCCATAGAATATATGTTAAGGCATTGGTGCCCGATATTTCTGGCATTCTGGACCAGCAGGAGGGGGAGAGGTGATGGTTCCAAGGGAGTGGTGGGGTAGTGTGCGCTCATGCACACACATACCACTCACACAAGTGCACTCACACAAGTGGAGCTGCGCACATGTGTGTGCTCGCCCGCCACTTCCTCAGCCCAATTACAATTTCGAATTATAAGCCATCCAGAGTCATTAACTGAGATGGGTGGCTATAGAAATTGAATGAATGAATGAATGAATATATAAATAAATAAAGCAGTACCAATTTGGATGGTTTAGGAATTGCTCTGCAACTTGGAAAAAGAAACATGTGTTGCTTAGGGGAAAATACTGGAATATATGATACTGTAGACCTAGAAAATATGGCTCCTGATGTTGTTGTTTTCTGCTTTTTTGTACGCTCAAAATTATCCTAAGGAAAGAAAAGAGACATTTTTCCTAGCATAAGGAAAATTTGGGTGACCTTAATATGTAATTCCACATTATATTCTAGAGAAAGTTTCTGTTTTGTTTTGTTTCCCTCAGCAGATACGAAATGAGCTAGAAAAGATTGTCACTTAATGGTTTGGGGAAGAGAAAAGGTACCCTGGTTTTTGTTTTGCAGGAAGAAAAGGAGGAAGTAATAATAGAATAAGATCTTCAGTGCTTAAGGGGATTGTGGAGGCTGTGTAAGACATTATACAGTACCTATAATCTCTGTGAAGCTTTATATGTCAAGGCTATATCAAAAATGGAGACACTCTTTTCTTCAGCCAACACTTTGCCTCCCATCTGATTAACTCAATAGAAATGGCAGGGCCTTCATACCTTTAGTTGTTATGGCTTTCATTTGTATTGGGGTAAAAATGTTGCTCTACTTTACATTTAATTTCAGCTCAATCTTGGATTACGTACATGGTTTGCAATAGTAGCGAATATGGTATGTGGTGCTGTATATGGTGCTGTAGGTTACCTTTCGAAGCACAATAGTTACCATACTACGAGATATCTCACGTAATTGCATCATTGGTCAGGGCTTAGCAGTGTTGCATGATCACAAAGGCTCCAGTGGTGCCAGTTCATTGTCATGAAGATCCTCTGATTTTTAAATAGGAAATAAGATTTGAATGAAGCAAACTTCTGAGATTGGCCAGAGGATTTTTTTTTTTTTTACAAATTCATGCAATAGTGGATAGTCATCCTGGAATACTTATTTCTTACAGGTAAGTTAAATCTGCCCCTGGGCAGAATGGAAGCCAAAATGTATCTAATCCTTTTTTTCCAAGTGAAATAAGAGATCATCATTGATTAAAGCTTTTCTCTGCTCTGAACTAAATCTCTCACCTTATGTTGGGGAATCATATTATATTCTTTAATTACTTGTATCCCTTTATTCTGTCTTCCTACTTTAAATTAAAAGTCAAAGCACTACTTTACTAAATCAATTTTAAAATCCATTACTACAGACTTATTCCCAGTGTGCTCTTTTGAAGGATGGATTGCTTGAGATTTGCCTGGTGGTTCTGTGCATGCCTTAGAAAGATAAAAGAGGACAAAATACATTCCAATCTCTAATGCTGTGTGTAGCCTGCTAGGGTACCCTAGCATACATTCTGTATGTTACTTCTACTTATTATTACTTCTACTTCTCCAATTTACATACATCACCTTAAATGTAACAGGAATGGAGGTGAGCTGGCCAAGATAGTTCGGGATCATTCTAATGTATGGCAAGAATATAGGGGAAAAAATTCAGCACAACAGCTTTCCCCAGTGTTTTGAGCTTCTATTTATCTCCTTCATTATTTTTTACAGTAGCATTTTAGTTCAAGCGGCTGATGTAAGGAGAATAGCATTTCACATTATGACCAGGGGTTAAAGGCCTAATAACACATGGAATAAATTCTTGGGGTCATAAAGCCATGGGACAGATGTCATTGTGTGCATGTTCTTCTGCTTCCACACATTTCATATTAACATAGAAATGTGGCAGATAGGCAAGCAGGCATCTCCCATCAATCAACAGCTAAACATGCCAGGCGTGCATCCATCCCTCATTTAATAAGTGCACTTTTAAATTATCGCTTTTACAGCTGCATGCAATGCTTAGCATTTGGTATGTATTAAGTTGGGGTCGATTGAAGAAGCAACACGCAGAGAATAGTGACTACAGCTCTTTATTGAGTAGATCAGTACAACCCAGTCCCTTGCCTGTCCGACAGCTCGCCCTTTTAAAGGGAGCTGTTGGACAGCTCAACCAATGAGCTCAACTTATCTTACCGCCGGAAAGGCGGACCAATGAATTTAAACTATTATATCCCGGTGGAAAAGCGGACCTGAGTGAGGCCTTCGTTCCTTGGCTTCACTTCTCATTAGCATATTCAATACCATGTACTGTATGTAATATATATCTGGAAGTAGGATGGAAATGTATCTACAAAAACTAGTATTTATTGAAAGTTTGAATGGAGTTTGAAATGTTCACCTCTCCAATTTCATGTTAATCCTTTTGCCTCCTCTTTCCTCTTTTCTAAGTTTGGTCATTGTTCCTCTGTATAATTCCTGCAGTTCCTTTGCTTGCAATATCTGTTACCTTCTTCATCTCAGAAAAGTTGGTTGCTATCCAGACGAGTAGGGAAGGCAGAGACAAGATTTGACTTAAGCTCAGTATTGCTATCCTTTAAAATTTGGAATTCCCTTGCTATGAACTCAGCTGGGGAATAAATTATGCAGAAGTTGCATCAAAACTCTCTTTTGAGAAACTCTTTAATGTTCTATTTCTATGCAATATTTAGTTTTATGAGTTCTGTGTGGAGCTGAATGGAAAGTCATAATAATACATTATAGCAGACTTTCCTTGTGTGCATATTCCTTTCTCTGTGCATATGAAATATTCCTGCTAGAATGCTTCTGAGCATTGCTGCCTGCATGGAGGGAAACAAACAGACCTGGAACTGAACAAGTAACATGTTAAGAGGTACCTGTTACCGGTTGCCACTCTAAATAAGGATGGTTGTCAGGGCTGCCACATTTGAAACAAACAATAGACATTTGGGCTTAGTAATCATTAATACCCAATTGAACTTCTTTTACCTGCAGATATTTTGTTGCTCAAGGAAGGGAAAAAACTGTATATATTTGTAAGTCATTGATATAGGATTGCCATGAACCAAGAGTGATTAAATAAATAAATCTGGGGGAAAGTTTGATTGCTAGCCCCAAAGATGGTAGGAAAGCTTGAAAATCAAGAAAGCATAGTAAAGTAGCAGAATAGTGGCAGGCAAGGAGGGTCTCATTCTTTCAAATTCTGCTGTTTTCTGCAATCATTAGCAGCATTGTTCTGTATAGCATGTCTGGTACCCAGTAATAGTTATAATTACAAAGGTAGAAGAGAAACATGCGGTCATTACTCCGTCCTGTTTGCATAAAATTTTCAAAGAAATGACCTTAGAGAGAAGCTCAATAAATTGTATTAAGTGTCTATCTATCTGTCTTGGCGCTGTTGAACTGTGCTACAGGTGAAACTCGAAAAATTAGAATATCGTGCAAAAGTTCATTTATTTCAGTAATGCAACTTAAAAGGTGAACCTAATACATGAGATAGACTCATTACATGCAAAGCAAGATAGTTCAAGCCGTGATGTGTCATAATTGAGATGATTATGGCTTACAGCTCATGAAAACCCCAAATCCACACTCTCAGAAAATTAGAATATTGTGAAAAGGTTCAATATTCTAGGCTCAAAGTGTCCCACTCTAATCAGCTAATTAAACCATAACACCTGCAAAGGGTTCCTGAGCCTTTAAATGGTCTCTCAGTCTGGTTCAGTAGGAATCACAATCATGGGAAAGACTGCTGACCTGACAGTTGTGCAGAAAACCATCATTGACACCCTCCATAAGGAGGGAAAGCCTCAAAAGGTAATTGCAAAAGAAGTTGGATGTTCCCAAAGTGTTGTATCAAAGCACATTAGTAGAAAGTTATGTGGAAGGGAAAAGTGTGGAAGAAAAAGGTGCACAAGCAGCAGGGATGACTGCAGCCTGGAGAGGATTATCAGGAAAAGGCCATTCAAAAATGTTGGGGACTTTCACAAGGAGTGGACTGAGGCTGGAGTCAGTGTATCAAGAGCCACCACACACAGACAGATCCTGGACATAGGCTTCAAATGTCGTATTCTTCTTGTCAAGCCGCTCCTGAACAACAAACAACGTCAGAAGCGTCTTACCTGGGCTAAAGAAAAACAGAACTGGTCTGTTGCTCAGTGGTCCAAAGTCCTCTTTTCTGATGAGAGCAACTTTTGCATCTCATTTGGAAACCAAGGACCCAGAGGCTGGAGGAAGAATGGAGGCACACACTGCAAGATGCTTGAAGTCCAGTGTGAAGTTTCCACAGTCTGTGTTGATTTGGGGAGCCATGTCATCTGCTGGTGTTGGTCCACTGTGCTTCATTAAGTCCAGGGTCAATGCAGCTGTCTACCAGGAGATTTTGGAGCACTTCATGCTTCCTTCTGCAGATGAGCTTTATGAGGATGCTGACTTCATTTTCCAGCAGGACTTGGCACCTGCCCACACTGCCAAAAGCACCAAAACCTGGTTCAATGACCGTGGGACTACTGTGCTTGATTAGCCAGCAAACTCCCCTGACCTGAACCCCATAGAGAATCTATGGGGCATTGCCAAGAGAAAGATGAGAGACATAAGACTGAACAATGCAGAAGAGCTGAAGGCCGCTATTGAAGCATCCCGGTCTTCCATAACACCTTAGCAGTGCCACAGGCTGATAGCTTCCGTGCCACACTGCATTGAGGCAGTAATTGCTGCAAAAGGGGCCCAAACCAAGTACTGAGTACATATGCATGCTTATACTTTTCAGAGGTCTGATATAGTTCTAGGTACAATTCTTGTTTTATTGATTGCATGTAATATTCTAATTTTCTGAGATTGTGGATTTGGGGTTTTCA